CCCCAGTTGCCTCGCAAAAAAAAAAAAATGACAAAGGGGATGTTTTCAGGAAAGCCTGGAAAGACTTATATGCATTGATGCAAAGTGAAGTGAGCAGAACCAGGAGAACATTGTACACAGTAGCAGCAATATTGTAACTATGATCAATACTGAAGGAATTTGGTACTCTGATCAATACAGTCATCCAATACAATTCCAAAGGACTCATGATGAAAAATGCTACCTACCTCCAAGAGAGAGAACTGACAGACTCTTGAGTGCAAAATGAAGCAAATTGTTTTTCACCTTATTTTTCTTATATACCCACCTGTTTTTGCAACATGGCTAATATGGAAATATGTTTTGCATGACGTTATAATGAGTTACATTGCGTATGGGTGAGGGAGAGACTGAAGAGGGAGAGAGAGAATTTGGAACTCAAAATTTTAAAAAATGAACGTAAAAAAAAAAACACCCAAAGTAGGGAGAGGCTATTTCAGCAGCGTAGATCAGAGGTATCAAACAAATTGCCCCAGCAACACTTGCAAGTGCTGGAGGAACTTGATTAAAATGTAATTGACGAATATTTAACAAAATAAATAAAAATACAATAGAATGTAATGTTAGTATGTTATTTACTAAGTCAATATGTAGCACACAGGGATCCTTAGTGGCCCCTATTTCTATTTTAATTTGACACCACTGGTCTAGAGGAGAGATGGTGATTGGGACCTGAACTATGTAAGTAGAGAGTAAGGGTTAGATGTAAGAGATACTGTAGATGGCGAAGTTTATTATAAATTGGGGGAGGCGGGACCATCTGGCAGGGAAATATGATTTCCAGTTTGTACATGTTTTGGACACAGGGCATTTAGGTGGCTCAGTGGATAAACATCAGGCCTGGAGTCAGGAAGACCTGAGTTCAAATCTAGCTGTACTAGTCATGTAACCCTGGGCAAGTTATTTAACCTCTGTTTGCCTCAGTTTCCTCATCTGTAAAATGGATATAATATGGTTATTATAATAACAGTGTGGTTATTATAATAACAGCACCTACTTCTCAGGGTTGTTGTGAGGATCAAATAGATATAATAATTGTGAAGTGCACAATACCTGGCATATAATAAGTGCTCCATGTTAGTAGTGATGATGATGATGATGATGATTTTGAGATATTAGTGGGACATCCAGGTGGCAAAATCCTGCAAGGTGGCTGGAGGTGCACAACTGGAACTCAGGCGAAAGAGGAGGGCTGAACATGTAGATGCAGGAGTTTTTTGCATGGAGATGGTTGTTAGGTCTCATGAGATTTAATTCAGTTACTGAAAGAGAAGAGCTCTAATCCTGGTTTTGTGACATCGCAGAGTGTCTTGAACTTGCTTCCAGTGAAGCTCTTCAATGATTTAAAAATCTAACAAACAATGATGAGGAATCATAATTCCACCAAATTTGACGACTGGACTGACTGGAGCATCCAAAATGCTATTTCCTGCCCTTTTTTGTGCCATAGACAATGTGTGGCCAGTGATTGATCTCTTAACCTAACATTGCTTGCTTCTTCCATAAAATAGATACCAGAATTCTACTTCTTGGTCAATGTTCTGGATTTTGGGATAAAACCCATTTTAAAGCACATATATTTTCAAAGTATACCCTTCATTAATTAACTAAATATATGTTATTAATCTTATTTTCCCTCTGTTAAAAATACATAACAGGAAAGACACCCTCATGATGAGTGATTTATTGGGAAAGGTGTTTTGCACAGATTTCTGGCACAAGCAGCCTCCATCTTCATCCTCTTGTTTCCTCTAATCCTGAATGATATCATTCAGGAAAGGCAGAGAGATGGAAATGTCAGACAAGTTAAAAATCTCTTTGGTTAGAACAGTTGTTTATCTGCAGATCTAATCATTTCAATGCACTTTATGACCAGAAAAATAAAAAACAAATGTCTAGATTTTTTTGCAACTCATAAAGACCAAAACTTTGCCTAATAATATACCATCTAATATAAACCCCCAATTCTGTTACTCACTCAAGAAACCCTTATTAATCTACTTTATTAAAGCACTTTGCTTGGCAACAGGAAAGATAATAAGTTTTTGTGAGATGTGATCTGTACACTCATGAGGCTTACAGGCTAGCAGGGGAATAAGATACCAACATGTAACTCTAATGCTATTACATATAATAATTCCCTCTATAAGTCTCTGCATCTATGAACAGAAGTGAGATCAAGGGGAAGAGCCAACTATTCCTCAAGGTTTCTAGTGAAGTCAAAACAAAGAACAGGCTTGGGGAAGAACATAATTACCTTAGTTTTAAAAATTCAGTAAACATTTAAGTGCCTACTGTGTGCCTGGCGCTGTGCTAAATGCTGGGGATACAAATAAGAAAAGATAATCCCTGCTCTCAAGGAGCTTGCAGTCTACTGGGGGAACTAAACACACAAAAGGAGATGGAAAGGAAGGGGCACTTGTGGGTACCTAGAGTCCAAACCAAGCAGAGCTTCAAATGGCAAGTGGAAAGTTATCTGGAAAGTTCAGATCTCTACCCTCTCTAAAGGAAAGCGTTGGGAGGAGTTTAGCACTCCACTCTCCAGCCTTCCAATCAGAGGGGAGAGGAAACTGAGGGAGATGGGGAAGGTACTGAATATCTGAACAGAATCATTCTGCATGATGATAAGATTTCAGGTGATCAGCTCATCCTCGGTGGAGCATAAGGTTTCTGAAGAGTTTGAAGTGCTGGTAGAACATGCAAGAAAAGAGAGCATATGAGATGGGGACGTGAGTCTAAAGTTCAGTAGCTAGGTCGGGACTGGAGATACAAATTTGGGAGCCATCTGCAGAGAGGGAATAGTTAAAGCTAGGAGAGTGTCTGAGATTGCCAAAGGAGGGATTGTAGATAAAGAAGAGAAGAAGAGGGATGATGATGTCCTTGACGACAACCCAACTTGAGAGGATGGAAAGATAGTGAAAGAGAGTACAAAGGAGCAGTTAGGTAAGAAGAGAATCAGGAGAGGGGAGGTGTCTTAGAAATCAAGGGAGAATAGCCTACCCTGTATGAGAGTATGGTAAGCAGATGAATACTGTTAAAAAGCCCTTAGTTAGATTTGGCAGTAAGGATGTTTTTAGCAACCTTAAAAAGAGAGCAATATCACTAGAGTAGTGGCAGGAGAAGTCAAATTGCCAGAGGTTAAATGAAAAGTGGATGCTGAAGAAGTAGGACATGGTTGTAGACAGCTTTTTTTCCAGTAAGTTCAGAGGAATACAAAGACAAAAATTAAATAGTCTTTGCCCTCAAGGAGTTTACGTTTTATCAGGGGAAATAACATGTACATAAAAAGCCTACAGGCTATGTGCAATATAAATGCAAGGTAGTGGGGGTGGGTGGGACTAACATTTAGGGGAGAAGAAAAGAATTTGGCTTTTGGGCTAAGTTTTAAAGGAAATAAGTGATCCTAAGAGGCTGAAGTGACCATAGGGAGTGCTATGAATATGATAGAATACAATCAATCAATCAGTAAACATTTAAGTGTCTACCGTGTGCCAGACACACTACTAAGTGCTATTGTACGATTAGAAATGAAGGAATCAGATTGCATGCTATCTTGGGGAGGAGGGAGGCGGAGAAAATTTACAACTCAAAATCTTATGGAAGTGAATGTTGAAAACTAAAAATATATTAATTAATTATGTATTTAAAAAAATAATGAAGGGGAAGGTTTCAGAGAAACCTGGCAAGACCTATGTGAACTGATGCAGAGAGAAGGGAGCAGAATTGGAACAATTGATTCAGTGACAACACTCTTGAAAAAGACCAGTAACTCAGAAAGACTGAGGAACTCTGATCAACACAGTGATCAACCCTAATTCCAGAGCGTCAACCCACCTCCTGATAGGAGTAAAGGACTCAGAGTGCAGATTGAGATGTGTGTTTTTGGACATAATCCAGCTAGGTGGCACAGTGGATAGAGCACCAGGCCTGGAGTCAGGAAGACCTGAGTTCAAATTCAGCCTCAGATACTTACTAACTGTGTGACCCTGAGCAAGTCACTTAACTCCATTTGCCTCAGTTTCCTCATCTATAAAATGAGCTGGAGAAGGAAATGGCAAACCACTCCAGTATCTTTGCCAAGAAAACTGCAAATAGGGTCACAGAGAGTTTGACACAATAGAAAATGACTGAACAACAACTGCAGAAATTTGTTTTGCTTAAGTGTATGTTTTTGTTTTGGGGGCTTATCTTTCTTTTTCAACTGGTGGAGTAGAAGAGAGAAAAGGTTGATTTTTTTTTTGCTGAGTGAAAGAAAAAATAAAAAAACAACTTTAAATATATTGGACGCTTCCCAATATGATATGTGGGATCTAAGGGGTGAGGTCATTACAAGCTGGGGATATCAAAGAAAGCATTGTAAAGAAAGAGAGGTGGTACTTGAGTTGGCCTTTAAAGTGTGGATAGGAGCTCAGCAGGCAAAAGGGACCTCTCTGTCTAATGAGAGGATTGGACCAGGTGACCTCTGGTCTTCCAGCTCTAAATCCTACAGTCTTATAGCATTCTTCCCATGAGCAGCTTCACTTCCACATCAGTTTCCATCAATCTACACTGTCTTTTCCTTGCTCATATCTTTTCCCATTGGTCGACTAAAGTAATCTTCTCTTACCCTAAGCCACCTTAAAGTCAGTCTCATTCATTAAACTGTTTTTCCACCGACAGCTTGAAGCTGCCTCCAGGAATCCATCCTTAAATAAGCAAGAAGTACAAGTTCAGACTTAGCCTAAATTTGACCTTTCTACCAAATCATGTGTTTGTATATTGATTCTCAAATGTATTTATATATAAATATATACAAAAGAATCTCTACTTCAGCAATGTTTGTTTTATCTCAAGTGAATTGGTAAACTTGTAGAGCAGGAATTTTTGTTTAGTAACTCTTTTTCTGTGTTTCTTCATAGCATTGTGCCATTTACACCCTGTGATGCTCAACACATATTAACTGATGTGTATTTTTCTTGTAGTTTGAAGGAAGGAAGTACTGTGAACATGATTTTCAGATGCTTTTTGCCCCATGCTGTCACCAGTGTGGTAAGTCATAGCACCTAGACAAGATGTTCAATCTTTTTTACATCTTCTCCATATATAAACAAGTCAACAAAACTGGATTAAAAAGTGTAGATTATAACAGTCTCCATTAAACCTACAAAACAACTTCAAGGTACTTAGTAAACCTCTCAAAATGTCTTTAGGGAGTAAATAGCTTTGGGGGCATCAAAACAAACATACATACCTCAAAATGAATTTAATTCATGAGGGCTTGAGACTTTCAGAATGTGCACAAATAGATTTCAATTGACTCAATCCTCTGTTAGGTAACAGCTTGCAATATACTTTTCATGCACTTGTGCAGCCTAATGGGAAAGCCTTTGCTTTCTGGTTCCATGTAAAGGAAAAAAAGAAATGAATTTAAAGGAGGAAGACATTCAGCCATTGTTCATAGGTTAGCCAGGTCTTTTGCTTGTCCTTTTTTCCCTCTGCCTTTTAGCAATTTAGCCCCTCCATCAGAATTTGTACAGAGAGCAAGGGAAACTGGAATCACTACTGTATGAACCTTAGCAAATATGTGGTGGCAAAAGAAATTAACTATGGGCTTAAAAGGAGGTTTTAAGGTATCTGTGAATTTCAGTTATTCGTGCTGTCCCTTACTAGCAATAATATAAGCAAATAAAAGAAAATCCATTGTCGAGTAAAAGAAAGGCCCGTTTCAGAAATATAGAAAGACTTTCATTTAGAAAGGCCAAGGTCACCCACTTCATCCTAAGCCATCACCAGTCATTTTGACCTTTGTCTTGCCACTGGTCTTTGATGACCCTGGAGGAGAGAGTGAGGCTGATGACTTTGTGCAGCTCTGCCTTATTAACATCTTGTTCATTCACAAGTTAAGACATCACCCTCATGACGTTATTGGTCCTCTTTGAGAACAAAGGACAAACAGCAGCAGCAACTGAAAGGTGAAAAGGTGAAATCATAAAACTATGGCTTGAGGATAACAAGCACTAGTCGGACGTTCACATAGAAAATTCTCTCAGTCAGAGTTTTTTACTCTATTTCTCTCTCTCTCTCACATACACACACACACACACACACACACACTTGTGCTCACACGTACAAATGCAATCGTCATTAATAGAGAAACTGTCTCTTCTGGAACTTTTCCTTGTTGTCTTCAGCACTAGCATCTTTGACACCCTTTTAAGCAGCCTGGTATTTTATTTTCTCGCAGGTGAATTTATCATTGGTCGAGTTATTAAAGCCATGAACAACAGCTGGCACCCTGGATGCTTCTGCTGTGATCTCTGCCAACAAGTCCTAGCAGACATCGGGTTTGTCAAGAATGCTGGGAGGTAGGGTCTGACTCCATCCATGTCAAACAAAAATTGTGGTTCCGGAAAGCAATTATCACAATTTTCAATGTCAATTTTTTTCCTCCTCCTCCCTGTCCAGGGCTTTTTAGGGGCCAATTCTCAAAATCTGAATAGAAATAAGGTCTGAAGGAATGAACTCACTATGTTGACTGACTGAAGTCCCCTGTTCTACTCATTTGCTAGGAAAGGGCGCCAGGATGCTCGTGGAAGGTGACATAGGAAGGGCAGCTACATGGCTCAGTGGATAGAGCACTGGCCCTGGAGTCAGGAGGACCTGAGTTCAAATCCGGTCTCAGACCAGACACTTGATACTTACTAGTTGTGTGACCCGGGGCAGGTCACTTAACCCCAATTGCCTTGCAAAAAAAAGGAAAAAAAAAGGTGACATAGGAATGTGTATTCCTAGGGTCTTATAGTTTTTGGGGAAAAAAACAAGCAAATAAGCATTTATGAGATACCTACTAAGTACCATCACTGTACTTAGTGCTTTACAAATAACTTATTTAATCCTCACAACAACTTTTAGATGTAGGTGCTATTCATATTCATATTCTTCTTCTTATTGTCCCCATTTTACAGTTGAGGAAACTTTGGCAGACAGAAGTCAAGTGACTTGCCCAGGGTCACACAGCTAGTCAGTGTCTGAATTTGAACTTGGGTCTTCCCGATGCTAGGTCCAGAGCTCTTTCCACTTCACTGACTGGCTGCTTAATAAATGTTTGTCGAATTGCATTGAATTCAGAAAAGAGACTGGCAGGTTATTGAAGATCATCTGGTAGCAAGCAAGAAGCTCACACTGTGACATTTACTTCTTCTGTCTTTTAGACTTGTATTATTTCTATAATATTCCCAAAGAGCACTTTTAATGAACATGTTCCTATTGCCACAACTCTTTCCATTATTATTGTGAATACGGTCTGAATCAAATTCTTTGTAGTTTTAAAACTGATTTCTTCTGGGAAAAGCCATTGCTTGGACTTCCTCCACCCTTCCTCAGTCCTTAAATCTTCCCAAAGATTTCACTCATGTAAGTACTGCTTCCAGGGACAGATCCCAGGCCATTGTCCATGCTGTCACAGACGGTCTTCATGAGTTGCTTTGATCAAACTTCAATCAATTAGCTTGTGCATTTCCTCCACTCATTCTCAGCTGGGCAGGATATGCTGGAATGTGTTCTCTTCAAAACCTGTATAACCATAAAAACACATGGTCAGGTCATGGTCTAATTAACAGATGATGAGAAATATTCTTCCCTCCTCTTTTTAAAGATGTGGGGAACTGCACGTGCAGAATGTTGAGACATTGCACACATTGTTAAGACAGTTACTGTTTTGATTGGTTTGGCTCAACTATTTTTCATACTTGCAAGAGAGCTTTCAATGAGTAGGGCGTATCAGGAAACAGTTTAAAACAGCTATTGTAAAAAGTATCTATAAACCTTTTTTTTATTTAATTTATTTTTTTTGGTTACCATTTTATGTCCTGAACTGTCTTCCTCCCTCCTTAAATACTAAGAAGTGTTCCTTTTCTTTTACCACCACCACCTCCCCTCCCCTCCAGCCTTTTCTGGTGCAATGAAAAGTGTGGGGAATTTGGAATCAGATTGTCTGGGTTGGTATCCCAGCTCTGCCACTTAATATATCTGCAACCTTGGGCAAGCCACGTAACCTCTTTTGGCCTCAGTTTCCTTATTTGTAAAATGAGGGGGCTGTATACAACGACCTCTTAAGTCCCTTCCAGCTAAATCTATGATTCTGTATCCTTTTATCTTGTTAAATGTTTAGGCCCCCTAGTGGCCAAAGATGAATGCGCTTTGGATTTGGGTTTATTTTTTCCTGTCTGAAACTTGGGTTTCCCTTAAAAGGTTCTGTTTTTATTTTTCTAGGTCACGGGGGAAATCCTTAAAGTTGTTTTCCTAATTTCAGCACATAACATTCCAAATAAACAAATTTACTGGATTTGATCTTCGTTTTTGGCTCTTTTTAGACACCTTTGTCGTCCTTGTCATAATCGTGAGAAAGCCAGGGGCCTTGGGAAATATATTTGCCAAAAGTGCCATGCCATCATTGATGAGCAGCCTCTTATATTCAAGAATGACCCTTACCATCCAGATCATTTTAACTGTGCCAACTGCGGGTAAAATATTTTATTTAAGTGTTTTATTTAAATCAGAATGATTTAGTTTGTTTTGATTTCAATTTTAAAAGAACACTGTTTTCTGTCTTTAAAAATGCCTTCCATCTTTAAATGTTATGAAGTATTCATTTTCTACCAATTAGCTATCAAGAAAGGAAGAATGCCCGTTTAAAAAGTGCTCTGTAGGCTGTATTGTCAGGAGTTAGGGTAGAGGAGAGGGAGTTGTAAGGTTAAAATAAAATTCTTCTGTGTTGTTATCAGCTTGGATGTTTTCAGAGACTTAATCATCTAGCTTATGAATTATGTTCTCATTCTTGTGACCCACTGTCCATTTAATTTCCATTAACACCTTCATTAGAGTAGTGAGTATTATTGCACAGAAAATATCAAATAGAAATAAAACTCACACCATTCCTTTTGATTTTTTTGAGCAGCCCTGGCAAATGGTTTAATGAAACAGAAGGAAAGCTAATGACTTTAAAAGGAAGTTTTAAATATTTTCTTTAGGCTTCGGTCAGGCTCTTCCCATTTTATACTACCTTATCTATAGAAGAGAAATGGCTGTTCTTCATAGCAACATTATTTATATTATGAATATAATGAATAGTACTAAATAAAATTGGTCCCCAGCTTAGTTTTGAAAGACTCTCACAATTTGTTTTGGTCGACAATGCATATTTGTTACGAGGGTTTTGTTTGTCTTTTTTCTTGGGTGGTGGCCAGCAGAATGGAGAGGAAATAGATTTTTACTAATAAAGAAAAAACTCCCTCAGCTTTGATAGTGGCATTGAGACTGCTCTTAGCAATGGTGACTGTTTTGCTATAACATTTAGAACCTAGAAGATGAGAGGATCTAGCTAGAATAAAATGAAATCTCATGACAGGAAGAAAGATAAATGTGATTGTTAACTTGGTGGTACGTATCTGACTTCCCCTGCAGCGTATCCATATTATGTTATCTTAAATATGATTTTCTGTCACACTGTAACCAGCCTGTATGGTTTTGACAAGAGTTAAAGAGCCCAAATCTCCTGTTAGACTACTGTGATCCCTGGTTCTCTCTTAGTCCTTGAATTTTAAGAGAATAGCAACCAGAGAAAGAGGGAGACAGAGAGAGAGAGAGAGAAAGAGAGAGAGAGAGAGAGAGAGAGAGAGAGAGAGAGACTTTCTAATGATGTCCTTAAAAATAAAATCATTACAGAGAATGCATTAGATAAAAAATATTGCCTGGTTTTTTTTTTCTTGTCCCTTGAATGTATGCTAATTTTGCTAACTTTCTTGATGACAGGAAAGAATTGACTGCTGATGCTCGTGAATTGAAGGGAGAACTATATTGCTTGCCATGTCATGACAAAATGGGGGTCCCCATTTGTGGAGCCTGTAGACGGCCTATTGAAGGACGTGTTGTAAATGCTATGGGCAAGCAATGGCATGTGGAGGTAAGAACCTGGCTGTGAGAATAACTCTTTTCCAATAAATACAGAAAACTATTAAACATTTCCTCTTGAGGTAGAACGCTGCGGTCATGGAATGCTTTTGAGATCTTTCAATGATGGGTATAGGTGTTCCCAACCTGTGGTACACACTCCCCAAGAAACCTTCTTAAGGAAACATAGAGGATATTTTGTAAATAACTATATTATCCTACTAAAGTATTACAGATATTGTCAAATTAGTGAAAACATTTGTGGAATGGAGAGAGAATGGTTTGGGGGTGAGGTAGGAAAGGGGGAGGGAACATTGTAGAGCATTTGAAAAACCTGAAAGAGATGACTGAAGGAATAATTCCTCTGGATCAAAACCAAATGAATGAGGTTTAGATACAGAATCCCAGTGGCAGTGACTTGGTGAAAGACAAGCTAATTGATCTCCCACATAATCTGAAAATCCGAATTGATTTCTAGTCAGTGAAGTCACAGAATTGTCGAAGCCTATTTCATTCTTACCAAAGATGCTTACAAGGCAAACATAACAAGTTATCTCTGAATCTCAGTCTTACTCTCAATCACATCCAAAGGAAAAAACAAACTGGAGACTGAACATGATTTGCAGTTATCTCCTTCAAAAACTACACAAAGGACAATGCTATTAGCTGACAAACCAAATCAAGGGTCTTACTAATTTATTTTACTGTGTTCTGATAAACATCTAACAACTTTATGTTACAAAAAATGTTTTGTACTAAATAAATTTTTCTTTATGAAAAATTAACATCTATTTTATTCCTTATATATACATATATTTGTACACACACACATATATGTATGTATGTGTATATATATATCTATAGATATAGATATATATATGCATGCTAAACAATAGAACTTATTTCCTTTCATTTTGAATAGAGAGTGTGGGGAAATTTACTGAAATCTGGGTTTGGAGTAAGGATAGAGTATGACAACCAAAAAACTGTTGGGAAACCCTGGTACAGAGTTATCTTTTGAGTATCAGATTTGTACTGTGGGTCTTTCTGATACATGTTCTCCACATCACTGGTGCTCCCTCATATCTGCATCAAAAAAATCTTCATCCCTTTTTTGAATTTGCATTTGAGTAGGTCATGTTCCAAAGCAGCCTGTTCCAGGTTTCTAGAGGGCAGAGTTTAGAATTTTGCTCAGTGGTCAAAAAGAAATGGCTAGTTTGTCACATGTAGATTTTTGTGTTTCAGAGTTTCAACATTCAACTGTCAATGTTAAAGTAAAACAAGGCAACTCAGAAATGATCTGTATAATTTCTTTGCAGCATTTTGTCTGTGCCAAGTGTGAGAAACCATTTCTTGGGCATCGTCATTATGAAAGGAAGGGTCTGGCATATTGTGAAACTCACTACAATCAGGTGATTGTTATTCTTTTTTTTTTTTCCAAATCAGATATGCTTATTATATTATGAGTTGTAAGGTTTTCTCTCTAAAAAAAAAAACCCAGTAACATAAAAGTGACCTCCTTCCCTTCTTAGCAGAGTTTGGGGACTATGTATATGGAACACAACTATGTGATTCAGTTATTAGGTTGTTTAGTCTTTCCTTCTCTTTCCCTCTCTCTTTTATTCTTTATTAGAAGGGGTGGTTTCCTAGGTAAGGGAGGGAATAAAGATATATTCACAAATGAAGGTGATATAAAAAGCTGAAGCCGCCAGTAAAAAAAATTGAATGCATTGTTATAGAGATGGGTTTTTTTTTCAACATTAGGAAAAGTGAGTTATTCTTTTTTGCCAACTTTCTACTGTGAGCAATTAGATTGCTAATCTGAAGAGTAATTTTTATTAGTTCCTGGTACCCAATATTTTTTGTTTCTAAGCATGAAAGAGATGTAGAATGGTTCCTTTTGTATTGCCAGTGAAGTTTTAAACTTTCCTTTTTTATTTTTTTCTGATCCACAGCTATTTGGCGATGTTTGTTTCCACTGTAACCGTGTCATCGAAGGGGATGGTAAGCCTCTGTTTAGATCTTACGAAACATGTAGAAAATCACAAGGAATGAGCTTGCCTTTTGTTATTTATAGAATGTGACTATCATCCTCATTTCTCTTTCTGTCATTATGGAATGAGGCTCTGACGCTGTCAGCAGAGTCAGAGTTATCACTGAAAAAAGGAAAGATGCTTACCACCTTGAGCTTAGAATAGTTATTTCATATCTTATGCGACACTCATGGCTAAAGAAGCAGATTCTAAATACAACATCATATTTATTTCAGTCAGTTATCATAAGCCTAAATTCCCAAAGAATTAGACTGTGGGTAAGGAGGAATTTTAAATAAGGACTTCAGGATGACATAGCATTTGATCCTCTGCTTCTCCTCATCACAGACATTCACTCCTACCAGATGTGTCATTGATATGACGATGAATAGTGTGGGAACCATTGTTACAAACTGCTAATGGACTGGGGGGGAGGGATCCTGTTTTATTTTCGTACTAACTATGATTACAAACCATGGAGGCTGAGGGTATACGTTTATGAGGAGCAACTTCAGTCCCTGGGGTTGTTTGGGAAAACAGCCCTAACCCTGCAGATGCTGATGCGCTGGCACAGGCACCAAGAAGCATTTCTGGAGTTCTTATCACTCTTGTACCTTGGTAATCGGGTAGTTCTAATTGACTGGAACAGAAAGGAAACAGCTGTGTTTGGAAATGGTTGTCAAGCACAGTTCTACCAGAAACATCCTGGATGCCGGCATGCTTTATGGTTCTCTGCAGACATGGCCTCACTCAGGAAATACTTTCTCAAATACACTGCCCCCATGCAATTGGCAAAAGGATTAGTGTTCAGAAAGCAAGCAATGAAATCTATGGAAGTCAACAACGCTTAACTCTTTCCTGTACAAAACAGCTTGCCAGGTAGAAAAAGGGAGTAGTTTACCAGTAGAAAAAGGGGTGTGTGTGTGTGTGTGTGTGTGTGTGTGTGTGTGTGTGTGTGTGTGTATGTGTGTATTTGGGGAGGGGGGGTGTTAAACTGTGATGCAATAATGTACTGGAATGCTATAATACAATGAAGGCAAATAAGAGGAATATTAAAAAATCTAGAAAGACTTTTATGAAATAATGAAAAGACAAAAGAATAGGATACATTCTGATTAAAACCAAAGAAGAGAAAAATGAATGGACACAAAATCCTGATGGATTTTGAGAAGGAGTAACTAAAAAGTTGTAAGATACTTTGTGTTGAAATTTATTTAAATGTAAATAGGTTCCAAGCATGTTATTTAGTTGTATTGATGTCAAATATTAGCTTTGCAATTAATCTTTTTTTTTTTTTTAAAGAAAAAACATTAAAAATGGTAAGAGTCATTCTTAAGTGTTGTTCTGTTTGTCAGCCAGGGAGATAGACTCCTCAAAGGTGAATAAATGAATACCCAATTTGGAGCAGTTAGATTAAATTTATGAGAGGTTTTGTTTTACTTTTAATTTGGACGAGACCCCATTTAGTTTAAATCTTTATTATGAGGTAAGATTTTTGACTTGGCCAATGCTCCCACTTGCATTGCCGATGGCTACTGATCCAAAGCAAAGGAATGAAATAGTTTTAGCTGCATTTTAAGTAAGTGAATTTTAGATATTTTTGACGCATTACTAGCAACCTTATGACTACTGACAGAGTCTGTTCCTTCTTTTTCTAGTTGTTTCAGCCCTGAATAAGGCCTGGTGTGTGAACTGTTTCGCCTGTTCTACTTGCAACACTAAGTTAACTCTCAAGTAAGTTCTGTGATTTGAGTCTGCGTGAATCTTTAGAAGTGAAAAAAATGATGAGAGGTAAAGAAAAAGTATGTGTAGAGTTTCAAAGAAACTTATCCTATGATTTTGACTTTTTATTTATCCTTTCTTACCGGGGCTCCTAAAATCAGAGATTCTTTCTTTAACTCTCCCGTGTTCTTTCCTCTGTCTCTTCTTTGTTCTGCTCAAAGGGATAAGTTTATTGAAATTGATCTAAAACCAGTCTGCAAACACTGTTACGAGAAAATGCCAGAAGAATTTAAGCGGCGACTTGCTAAACGAGAGAAAGAAGCGAAGGATAAAGACAAGCAGAAAAAGAAAAAGCCAGTCTGTTTGTAAACTTTTCTATCCCTTCTTTCAGCATTTCCTTTGGTTAGTGCTTCAGGAACTTTTTCTTTTCTCTTCTCTGTGTGTTTTCTCTCTCTCTCTCTCTCTCTCTCTCTCTCTCTTTCTCTCTCTCTCTCTCTCTCTCTCTCTTTCTCTCTCTCTCTCTCTCATGTGTTTGTGACCATCAAAGAGGTTGAAATACTGGTCATTATTGTGTGTGCATCTGGAGTCTGCCAGTTAGATTACCTATCAAAATTATAAAGCTGGAAAACCTTTCAGACAGGTCCATGATTAAACTAATCCTGTTTTAAGTATGTTGCCTTTTTTTTTTTTTTGCAAGATCAGTAGTTTTGTTTTTAAGCTCTTTTTATTTTAACTAGGTGTCAGAGTCTAAAATAATAGCTAGTATAATACTAGCACTTTAAGGTTTGCAAAGCACTTAACAAATATTATCTCATTTTATCTCCACAAAAACCCTTCAAGGTAGACTCTTATCCCCATTTTATAGATGAGGAAACTGAAGCAAACAGAAGTTAAGTGACTTGGCCAGTGTCACACAGTTAGGTGACTGAAACCAGATTTGAACTTGGGTCTTCCTGACTCCAGGCCCAGAATTTTATCCACTGAATCACTTAGGTGCCTGAAAATAAATGGATTTATTAGGAGAAGAATCTTGATTGGGTTAAGAAGAGTGGGAGAGCTTTGTAAATATTTCTTACCCCTGTGTGCTTGACTTTCTTCTGTTTCTACTTTGCTGATCCTCATCCGCTGGGTAATCCCTACTGCCTGCCTCTTCCTCTGCTCCTGCTCTCTGAATGCTGCTGGAGGAAATTATGATTGGATCCATTTTGATCCATGCTTAACTAACCTCAGCTGAGTCCTCACTGCTCCACGACGATCTTGTCTCATATTGACTCTCCTCTTTACTCCTTAGGCCCTCAAGTTTCACCTCATTTCCTCCCCTGTCACCAGATGCCCTCAACTCCTGCTTTAATTGAGTCCACACAATATGGGCTCCCTTAAGCTCCCTTCTTTTACCTAATAACAACAACAGCCAATATTTATATAGTGTCAGGCATTGTGCCTAAGCACTTAACAAATATTCTCTCTCCAAACCTCTCGATATCCTTACCTGTTCTTTCCTCATTCTCTACATTCTTGGTGAAGATGATAGCCCTTCTCCTTGCCAGAACTAGTCTCTTTCTCTAGCTGTGTCCTGAGTCTGGTCCCCTCCATTTTTCTCTGTGACCTTGCTCCATCATACGTTTTCTTCCCCATCTTTCATTATCTTCAGTGTCTTTTTGTTTAGCCCAAGTCTTCCCAGTCTATGAACAAAAAGGAAATCCTTTCTTTGGCCATGCTACTCTCCCCTCTAATACCTCTTCCCCATCCCTGTCCCTTGCCAACACCTCCATGACCCTATATTCTCTCATCTTATTCACTTCCAGAATATTGCCTCCATTTCCTTGCCACTCACTTATTACTCAGTCTCTGGTAATTGGGCTTCCTGCCCCCCCTGCACTGAAAAAGCTCATTGTAGGGTCACTGAGACCTTCTTATCACAATACATTATTCTTTTTCTGTTCTTATATTTTATAATCTTTTTGTTGTACTTACATTGTTGATCTCTACCATTCTTAATAATATATCTTTCCCTCGCTTTCTGTAACCAAATTCCCATGGTCTCTCTGACCTCTCTTTATCTCTTTTGTGGGCTCCTTCCACCCCTTAAGTTTTTCCTCCAAGATTCCGTCCTTGACACTATTTTCTGCATTCTTTCTTCTCTCTCCTTGGTAAATTCATCAGAATCCACAGCTTTAATTGTCACCCCGTGAAGAAGATTTTTAACCATCCTCTAGTGTTTTACTTGTACCAATCTGCCTAATGACTATCTCCACTTTTATGTCCCACCACTACTCAACATGTCCAGAACTGAACTCATCTTCCCCTCAAAACCTGCCCTTTCTCCTAAATTCTTCATTGGTATTGACAGCACTACCTTCTTCCCAGTCTTTCCTGACTTATAACCATAGAATCACCTTTGACTCTTCTCTCTAACTCACAACCAATCAGTTGCAAAGTCTTGTCAGTTTTACCTTGCCAATATGTCTCAAATTTCCCCCTTCCTTTCTGTTCCTGTAACCTCAGACCTCTTGACTAGTAACATCCCAGTTGGTCCTCAGCCGTTGTATCTAGTCTTTAATCCATCCTTTACAACGTTGTTCAAATAATCTTATTTTATTACTTTATTTTTTAAATCTTCACTACTCTACAGCCCATAGTGTCTTGACTTGCCATTGCCTGATAAATAAAATATAAACTAATCTTGGCATTCAAAAACATTCAGTCTGGCTCTCATCCTTTCAGACATTTATTGTATTACTCCCCTTCATGTACTCTCCCTTCCAGATAAACTGGACTACTGTTGATTCCTCTTTCTCCTCTAGTTCTGTTTTGTCTTCATACCTTTGCTTCTGTCACCCACCTATGCCTAAAATGCCCATTCCCCTCTCTTCCTACTACCTCAGTACCTTCTTGATCTTTGGAAATCTTGTCCCTCCTAACAGCTACAAGTCAATTAACACTTCTTTGAGAGGCCTTCCCCTTAATCCTACTACCCCCAATTAGACTGCAAATTTAGTGAGAACAGGGTCTAGATTCTAAATCCTGTAGGTCTTGGCATTCCTAATACCTAGCACAGTGCCTCACATATATGTAGGTGAATTTTAATTTGACATATCTTGGCTTACTGATTCCTAGCCCTTGGTTTACAATTTTGTAATATTTTTTTATGTGAACTATATTCTTATGATACCACAGTACTTAAAAGTGTTAAACACATAGTAGTCATTCAAGAATTTCATATATGTAAACCTAAAATTATTCCTTAAAAGCCCTTTTGATGTGTTTACCTGTCTGGTAGACTCTGTCCTTTTTATCTATTCAAGACTTTATCATTAAAAAGCAGAAAAAAATATTTAGTATGTGTATTTGCCTACAAATTGTCTTGACACTACCATTTTTTAAATCTCTTTATGGACAGTTACAAAGAATATTTAATTTCAGAATTCAAACAACAGTATTTCATCCTCTTACATCCTATTGCACAGCAAGCATGCTTTTCCTATTTCTTCTATCCTTGTCTGTGTTCTAAGCTTCCAAAAAGTTACCTTATCATAACAGTATTTTGTATTTCTTTTCTACACTTAAATTTCTAGACAGGGACTCTAATTTAGCAGTGAACAATGAGAATACGGACAGTTTAGCAAGAAGCTTTCTAGAAAGTAGTGGCAATGTCTAACTTTGTTAAAAGGAGTAGCATTCTTCAGTACTTTTGGTGATAGGATGACTTTTGTGGAAAATATATAATCTAATAATGATATTTGAATGAATGAAAGAAAAGGTATCTATAAAGCAGTTTTTATGTGGGAGATACTGCACTAAATGCTGGGGATGCAAATACAATCAAGGAAGATAGCTTAGGGGCAGCTAGGTGGTGAGGTGGATAGAGCACCGGCCCTGAAGTCAGGAGGACCTGAGTTCAAATTCGGCCTCAGACCAAACACTTGACACTTACTAGCTGTGTGACCCTGGGCAAGTCACTTAACCCCAATTGCTTAAAAATAAAAAAAAAAAAAATGTCTTATATGAAACTACTTACCTGAAATATTTAAGTACATCTAGGTCCCTATTAATACAAATAATGAGTCCCCCTGAAGTGATAACATTATTCAGATTCACACTATATCTTTCCATTAGGTTGGAACCAATGACCATATTTTACATAATTATAACTTCAAGTAGTGTGAATTTGAATACATGCTTCCTCTGCAGGGGATTCATTATTTGTACTGATGGAACCTATCTGTATTTTTATTCTAATCGAAAATAACCCTTCTTTGAATTGTCCGTGAAAGAAGAACCTCTTTACAGGAAGATCCAAAAAGTACTTTCCAAATTGGTGTAAAAATCCAAAGTATCTTCTTTTTAAGGGCAAATTGTTAATAATTTAACTTTAATAACAAAATTGCTCATATGTTAAATTTTTGTTGAGGCTCACATCTAATTTAGTGCTGCTATTATGTTGTTGATTTAAAAATTGCTACTTAACCATAGAATTTTTTGAAATCTGAAGTATTTCATCCATTTCTCTCTTCCTCTTTTTTTTTTTTAATATGAGCATTTCTGCTCACTCATTAAATGCTTGTTGACTGAATTTCAAAGAATTGGATAACATTAAGGAATTACATATTCACCCTATTTAATTTCATACTCCTGACCCTGGATTCCAAAACTAGCAAATCACTGAGGTGGTCTTTTTGAAATGAGTACACCATAGGTATCCACTTTCTGGCCGTGGAGTGGGAGCTAGCACAATCTTCCTTTTTTTCTCTTTACTCCAAGTTTTTCTGTGAAGTGAAAGTTGTGCTGTTTGATTTTTGATATTATATGCAGTATACAGACAGGATCTGTATACAGTTACAAAATAAGCCATGGTGGATTGGGAGGGGAAGGGTACTAAGAATTTTCAAAAGCTTTTTAATTTCTGTGAAATTTTGTAGTGTGAACAACCATTTTATCATTATCACTTTTTTTGTGGTCAAAATGTAAGTATTTTGTGGGAAAACCCATTTTGTTTCAGGAAAGGAGAAAATCCTCAAAGCCACTTAATCTAAAATCTTGGGTAATATAAGGTTGCTACCAAGTGATCAGAGCAGTCCTGTGACGCAATGATATGCTTATAATCCCATAAATCTATTCTTACAGAAGAGAAATTAAAATTACTAGCATTGCTAAAAGATTCTCTAGTTTACCAAAGGATTCACTAAAAAGGTTGCTTTAAATAGAGAGCTCCCCAACAGTTCATTTAAAACAATTAAAATGACCAAAATTAGATTAGGCTAATATTTCAGGAACACAGCTTTTTTAAAGCAAGGCAAACTTGTACAATTTTTTTTTTTCCATTGCCTAGAAATGGCCAATTTAAATATGAACACCCAGATGTTCATTGGCATAATAAAACTATCAGTATAGACCTGGATAGGTGTGTCTTCTGCCACAGTGACAAGGAGTAGACTTTAGTCTTTTTTTTACACAGGAAGGATATCATGATATGTTAATTTGACTCAATAAAATCACTTCATATTATTTGAGCTGTCATTTTTGAAACATTTCCACTAATGTATCTTCTTCCTCTCCCCTCCCCCTACCCTTTTAAAAAACATTTTTAGGAATAAATTTGTGGAGTTTGACATGAAGCCTGTCTGTAAGAAATGCTACGAGAAGTTTCCGTTAGAACTGAAGAAAAGACTTAAGAAATTGGCTGAAACCTTGGGGAGGAAATAATTACTTTTTGTTTGTTTGTTTGTTTGTTTTTTAATTTCTTCCTTCATATGCAAAGATAAGGAAATGTTACCCGTGTTACTTGATTTCATTCACCCTCCTACAAGGTTTTATCCCATAAGAGTGAGGATTTAAAAGCTTCTGTACACAAATAGCTTCACAATGTTGTTATACTGTTCTTCTTTCCCTTGAAGAACTGTAACTTTTGTATGGCCATATTTAGGACACAGCTGAAATTCTGTATTTGCCTTCTCAACAGAAACTCATTTGTAGATAGACTGTACTTGCATAGCAAGTTTCATATGATTAAATTTAAATTAATTCAGGCAAAAAAAACCCTAACTTATTTTTATGAAAGTCTTAGTTTTTGGATGATTCAGCTACCAAATTTTGGAATAATTTTGAATCAGAGTCAAGAGAAAATTACTGCCATTGAGCAAAAATTAACAAGCAAATCTTAAACTTTTTGTGCATCAGATTAAAGATCTTGACTTTCAGGTTACTAAGACAAAAAACAAATTTATTCAGAATTACTTGAATTTTGCATTTTTCTGTTAAATGCAATAATTATCCTGCATGGTTTTGTATTTTACTCTTATTCTTTATGAATCTTAGTGCTTCATTCAGATACATAATATAGTAGTTAGGATATCTAGCAAATATGTATGCATTTTTTAAAATTTCTTTTTTTTTTGTGCAGAGAATTTATACCAGGTATTTGAAAATACATTATACTTTAACTATATTGGACATATGAAGTATTTTTTAATGTATTAAAGCAAGTATTCTTATCATGATTCTAGGCTTAATGTCAAAGCTATAGTCTTAGAATAGGACGTAAAACTCAATTTTATGTAATCTTGGAATGTTGACACTTAAAAACAGTGAATGTATGTATCTGTATTGGTCAGACTTCTTTTAATATTCTCTCTAATAGCTATGCTTTATATACAATCAAACACACTTTGCCTTAGAAAATTGCATCTTTTAATCACAAATTCTTGCTGCTTGGTACAATACCAAATAAAAAAAAAAAACCAAGTGAATTTAATTAGACTAGTAAACCCAAATTCCTTTACCATAGCCTTAAATATGTGGTTTTTTTTAATATGTTGCCAGCTAAAGCTCATGGAATTTACTATGTGTTGTCTTTCAGAAAGTGAGAGATGTACATATTATGCTTTAGAATTTCTATTTCAGTTTCACTATCCATTTAGATTCTTTTTTTTTTTTTTAACAGAAAGGAGGTAGAAGTGACCTTAGATTGGTCAGAAGCATTTTTGAAAAGGGGAATTTTAGCCCCAAAATAAAAGATACCCAACAGTTTCTCAACTTAACTTTCCATATGGATTTGTTACATAATAAAAATGCAATTCTGGGAACATTTTTAAAAATACTGCTATTTCTGTCATCAGGATCAGTCCAAGATAAAGTGCTCAAAATGAATTCTAGTGGGGAAAAAAATCAGTTTGCCAAAACATCGTTGGAAATTTTTTTTACAATTTTTCCATCTTTTGAATCAACTGACTGGGAAGTACTAGGCTGCCCTTGAATACTTTGAATAAGTAGTTGTTTCCCAGATAACTTTCACCGAGGTAAATTTTGGTAATGATTTCAAACTTGCTGCAGCAAATTACATGGGTTTTTGTTTTCAGTGTTTTAACATTATGGTAGCCCAAAGAAGTCAGCCTCATGTAAAACATAGAATCTATATGTAGTTTAAAGTTAAATGTGTTCCTTCAACTAGTATGTATTGGGTTCCTGTTATTTGCAAGTTTTAGGGTCTACAGATGCAAAAAGTAACTTTTGCAGTCAAACCTTAGATTATTCTTCCTCAAAACTGTGCCTTTATCATCTCAGATATGACCAGCAACATAAGACCTAGGAAATACTTTTTCAGTACCAGTCAAAAAGTTGTACCGAATTTTAAAAAATTAGTCTGGATGTTAAAAAGATCAACACAATCTTCAGAAGTCTTTGGCAGAGGAGAGACACAGAAAAAAAAAAGTATCATTGCAGGGGCCTAATCAGGACATATTTAACACATAAGTAGGCACAGTAAGTTTTTGCCTACTAGTACATCCCTAATAACTGATATTTTATCGTTAACAATTCATTTCTTTGTATTGAGCATTAATGTCCCCACCAGTCCTCATTTAAAATGCAGATTAATTGAGAGGGCTAATATCTCTTAATTCTCTAATGTAGATTTGCTTATCACACGCTAGGTCCTTCATGGAGGGAAGTATTAGAGTCACTGGCAGTGTGAGGGGAAGAGACTTTCAGGGAAGGGAGAGAGTTCTTGGGGAGGGAAATGCCAAAGACAAGCTGCCTGCTTGACAACTCTTGTCCATAGGACTTGTTCTGACCACAAGGATCCGTAACAGGTCAGTAAGGCGCTAGCTAAGATTCACAGTTTGTAGGACACCGTAGCAGTCTGTTCTCCATCTTTATCTTAGCATTTAAAGTCCTCTATGTGAGAAACTAAATGTTATGAAATAAACTATGGCCCTTACTTACACGAGTGGGTGCAATGTCTCTTAGAAATAAGCCAAATATATGTAGGGGGAACATGTTAAGGTAAAAGGAAAATTGACTATTAACACTATATTTGAAATAAGATATTATGTTGCCTTACCTATTTGCTAAAATAGCTCTTTCCAAGTGAAAGAAATTATAAAACAGTCTAATAATACACCTAAATATGTGACTTCTTTTAGATTGTAAGCCTGATGTCAGGGACACTAAATTAATATTTTAATGTCTTATTTAGCAGTATACCCTTGGTGCTTAATAAATGTTTATAATAATTAACAATGGCCTATTGTGCACTGTTTTTTATTTGAATGGTTTTGAGATACTATGAATCCTATTTTGATGGTGTCAAAGGGCAAGTAATGCTACTCATGTTATGTATGGGCTAACTATACACCCAAATATGCAGTAATATGCAACTATATACATATATATAATATACATATTATATGTATATATACATATAATTATATTAGAGAGTTATATTTATGGGAACATGATCTGACCCATGTTTAAACACATGTGTAACCCATGGCCCAGGATTTACCTAGGACCTCTTCAGACTTGAGTGACTTCTCATAAATCATTCTTTGACTTATTCTGTGGGCACATTAGCATAAAGCTTGTAGCTAGGTCTTTACAAAATGATTAAAAAAAAAAAAGGCTGTCTGTTCCTAAACAAGCACTTATACTAATAATATATCAAATAGAGTACCGATTTTCTCTTACCACACAGAAAATTCAGAATACAAAGAACTTATATCTGAGTGCCAGACAAGGAAAGCTTCATATAATGAAAATTATAATTCTGCCTAAACTAATCTACTTATTCAATGCTTTCCCATTTAAGTTACCAAAAATATTTTATTGAGCTAGAAAAAATAAAATTCATTTGGAAGAACAAAAAGTCAAGAATATCAAAGGAAACAATTTTTTTAAAATGTAAAGGAAAGAGGTCTAGCAGTACCAGGTCTTAAACTGCATTATAAGGTGGTAATTATCAAAACTCTGTGGTACTGGTTAAGAAATTAAAAGATGGAACAGTAGACATGCAATACAGAATGGAAATGATTATAATAACCTTGTGTTTGACACAGTTAAAGATTTAAACTTTGGGGACAAGAATTCACTATTTGGTTAAAAAATTTGTTAGGAAAACTAGAAAGCAGGCTGGCAGAAACTAAGTATAAATCATATCTTACACTATTTGCCAAGATACAGTCAAAATGGATACCTGACATAGTCATAAAAGGAGATATAAGTAAATCAGAAGAACATGAAATATATTATCTTTCAGACTTATAGATAAGAGAAGAATTTATGAATAAAGAAGAGATAGAGCATTGTGAAATGTAAAATGGATAATTCTGATTACATTAAATTAAAAAGGTTTTGTACAAATAAAACCAATGTAATCAAAATTAGAACAAAAGCAGAAAATTGGGGAAAAGATTTCAGACACACGAGGCTGTGTGTCTGAAAAGAGAAAGAGCAAAGAGTTCCCATCATATAGCCCTGGGTTGGGGACATTGGAAGGCTCAAGGAGCAGAGAATGTCGGTGGGAAGCTATTTTTATGCCAACCAGCCACATCATTTCAATCAGGATAGCTCAAAGTCAGGGATCTGAAGTCCCTAGCATTCTGTCTTGAGATGCCAAAAAGAGTCTTGAAGGCGATGAGAGAGGGACATCCTGGAGAAATAGGGCTCAGTGCAAAATTAAGGACCAAGGATGAGATCGAGCAGAGCCAACCACCCCACCCAAAAGCATGGCAGTGGGTAGAGCCTGGCTCTGGCACAAAACCCCATTTCAAGAACCAAAACCGGAAATAAAAGTAATGAGTTCTGTTTTGGACAAGTTAAGTTTGAGATGTCTATGGGGCCTTTACTTCAAAATATCCAATAGGCAGTAGGTGATGCAAAACTGTAGTTTAGGAGAGAAACTAATATAATAATAATAACTAGCATATATATGTATTTATGACTTTAAAATTTATAAAGCACTTAAAACATCATCTTATTTGCACAATATCATTGGGAGGGAGATGTTATTATTACCCCCATTTTAGAGATGACAAAACCAAGGCAGAGGTTAGAGATTAAATGACTTGCCCAGGGTCACATAGCTAGTAAGTGTCCAAGGCATGATTTGAACTCAGATCTTCCTGACTAGATCCTGTGCCTTATCCACTATACCACCCAGTTACCTTAAGACTAGGTCTAAATGTAGAAATCTGTGAATCATCTGCATAGATATAATTAAATCTCTTGTTTCTAATGAGATCACTAAGGGAGAGTTTGTAGAGAGAGAAGATAGGAGTGGAGATCTGTGCACCTGACCTTTAGGGGTATGATATGAATGATGATCCAGTAAATGAATTAGAGAAGGAACAGTCAGGTGGAGAACCATAAGAAAGCAGTGTCATGAAAACTTGGATCGGAGAGAACATTCAAGAGTAGAGGCAGCTAGGTGTCACAGTGGATAGAGCACCAGCCCTGAATTCAGGAGTTCAAATCCAGCCTCATACCAAACACTTGACACTTACTAGCTGTGTGACCCTGGGCAAGTCACTTAATGCCAATTGCCTAAAAACAGCAACAACAACAACAACAACAAAAAGCCAAGAGTAGAGGGTAGACAACGGTACCAAAAGCTACAAAGTTAAAAAGGATGAGAATTGAGAAAAGGCAACCAAATGAATGAAGTCAGAAGCCAGAATGCAAAGGATTCAGAAGTGAATGAGAAGAAATTAAGACAATGGGCAGAAGAGAACTTTTTCTGGGAGTTTGGCTGGAAAAGGGAAGAGATAGGACTATTGGCTTGAAAAGATGGTAGGATCTAGTGAAGGTTTTTTTAACTCTAGGGAGATCGGGCATGTTTGTAGGTAGGTAGGATGAAATAAGGATAGCTAGATAGCTCAGTGATTAGAGTGTCAGGGCTGGAGTAAGAAAGACTCCTCCTCCTGAGTTCAGATCCAGTCATTGCAACAAATTGTTCTCATCTGCCCATTCTGCCAGAGGAGGTCTTCACATGCTTGGGGTAGTTGAGGCCTGTTTATTACCTCAACCTGGTTTAGCCCATCTACCAAGACAGTGTGGGCTGTGGCCACTGTGCATGCTACGGCTTCTTGAAGACACAGGTGACAGTTGGGTGGCAGGTGGACACCTGAAAAGGGCTCAGCAAGCCCTCACATCAGAGGTGCTAGTCATCCCTGAACACCCTATACATCCCTACATTTCTGTATTTTACTGTTAGGGGAAGGATGTGACCTTTAACTTTAACAAATTAATAGCAACAATGTCCATTTTATTTAGTCTGAGTTTTGTTTGTTTCACTGTCCTATTTTGTATAGTTGTAATTACTGAGTATATTGTTATTTTGTGTCTGCTTTCCTCACTCCATTACCAGGCACAAGTTTGTCTACATTTCTTTTAATTCGTCCTGTTTTACTCTTGCTTTTGTTGGGTCGTCAGGTAGCTGAATGACCCAGGAAGCAGGAACCAAGGAAGATCTGAGTACAAATTTGGCCTCAGACACTTATTAGCAGGGTGACCATGAACAAGTCACTTAACCTTTTTGCCTTAGTTTCCTCAAATACAGAATGGGGACAATAAAAGCACCTACCTCTCAGAGTGGTTATGAGGATCTAGGGAGATAATCTGTAAAGCACTTAGTACAGTGCCTACTCTGTAGTAGGCACTGTATAAATGTTAACTATTATTATTATCCGTAGTTAACTGTTATTAATACATCAATGTATTAGCTATATAATAATATGATTTATATAATTAATATAATTCTATC